TGGACATAGGAATAAAGCTTAACCTCTCACACTAAGGTGGCATATTTGAAACATATTAAAACTCCAAACACTGCTTGAGGTTGTATGACGGAGATATTGACTACCATGAACCTGCGAACAGAGTTCCCTGCAGACCTCCCTCTTTCATGTTATTAATTCAGGATAAGACCCCAAACCTCCCAAATAACAACAACCTGCAGTTTATTGTGGCAGCTACCTCCTTAAACCCTCAGATGTCACTGTATTGAGAAATTTTTATAAGCCAGTACACTCTGGCTCTTTGAGGAAGTGTTACATTTTGTCTGAAATAACCAATGAAAGCTCATACTGATTTAATTAGGGAAATACATATATAATACATATTATAGAATATATTACATTTGTAATTATGATGGGGCATAATGTACTGTGAATAAAATATATTACATTTGTATTATATATTAGTTTTTCAGCTATTGTAGGTTAGTTCCTCAACTAACATATGTGCTAGTAATGTAAATACTGGGCTAATACAAAGTACAGACATAGTAGCCAACGGTATTTGAGTTTAGTTGGTTGAACTGTTGGTTAAGTTTAATGCAAATAAACTGCAGAGGTGCAAATAAAAACACACATAAAAGCAAGCATACACCATCACAGCAAATGTTCTGTATTTCAAAAAGAAACCCTTACAGTTACATAGTTTATACAAAACCGTAAATTTAAAAAAAAGACAGAGTGAATGTGTTTTATTTTCAGAGGAAACAAGTAAGACATGTGGTAATTATGATTTATAAACCTGTACAAAACGCAGTAAATTCAGGATATAAAATATGGCATTATGTACTGCCTTTTTATTACACCAGGTAATTTAGTCACATTTTCAAATGACAGTATAGTTGAACATCATGTTATGAATGCACAGAGACACAAAAATATCAAATCTATGATCCTTTGCATGAACTGTGAAACTACACTGATCAGGTCAAATTTGAACATCCTTTATGCTCAGAATACAGTACATTAATATACATGTTCTGACCTATTGTTTTAGTGGTTAGAAAAGATTTACAGTATTTACATAGTGGTAATGGACTGCAGTAACAGACGTCTCTTGGCTTTTCTTGGTTTGCCTCCAAATCTGTAGAAAAAAAGTGAAATCATTTCATTTTCACAGCACAAACTGCATTCCAATAATTGACTGCTCAAAAATGTGTTGCATGTTCTAGCTTGAGAAAGATGGTTGATGCATAGTTGCTCTTTACTCACCTTGTATTATATCTGATAGCTCACACCTCAGTGGATTTTCCAGCGTTAATGTTTTGAATCTGAGAGTCATAAAGACATTATTAATTTGGTATCACTCACAATACAGGATTGATTACTGACAAAAAGAAATACACTTTCCAAGAAAAACTAAAAATCAGTACAAGGATTGCATATTCTGCCAGAGAGAGTTTAATCAGTGAGCGATGAATGTCTCTGTGAGTAATTTATGTTCAGGTTTTATTACGTACTTTGTTTTTCTAATGCTTTTAATCATATGAGCCAATGGTCAAGAGATTTGGACTGACCTGTTGTGGACTGGGCTTGGGTGCAACCTGTGGATGGGTTTTCTCTAGAGATCCTGCCAGATCATGTGGTTTGTCAAAAGCTGCAGAAGATTCAGCTCGATGAACAAGCTCTACCTCCTTAACAGTGATTATGGAGGCACATGAGGACGTGTCCTCCACCTCTCCTCCAGCAGCAGAGTGGTAGTTGTGACTGGAACTGCTGAAGCCACTTACACTCTCTCCTGATGACTCAGAGCTGTCCACTGAAGCAAACAAAAGAATTTCATATACTGTACACATGACAAATGGGTAGGTGGGCAAGGAAAAATCTTGTCAATCAACCATCAAGTATTTAGCCAACATATTAATCTGTAAAACTACACCCACTGAACCAACCTACTTTTATGTGGTTGCTGCATTTACTGCACAGTTGTACAGTGATCATATTGCCACTTACACAATAAGTTCTGACTCCCACTCTCATGGTCCAGATCATCCTCCTCCAGAGCTCCAGGAGGTGATACGTATCCTCCAGGGCCCGCTGCAGCAGGCCTCCGCTCTGGCCCACACAGATATGCCACAGGGGACAAGGAGCCCCTTCCAGAGGAAGAGGAGGAGGAGGAGCAGCTTCCTGAACCAACAGACTTTGGCCGCCCTCCTGGGAGCTCGTCCTGCTCCCCATGTGATCCCACAGAGAACAGCACTTTATTTTCTGTAAAGACCAGGTGAGAATAAGCTTAGTTAGAGCAATAAGCTGAGAAAAGTCAAAAGAGCGATAGAAAACACAATACATGCCGACTTAAATGAAAGAAAGAAGTAATTAAATAAACCTATGCTACTGGTGATTTCTGCTTACCTCTCCCCATCAGTACATAGTTGACGGCTCTGTCGCTGATAGCTGCATCACTGGGTTGGATGTCCATGAAAGGCTTATTTCCAATGCCCATAAACACTCGCTCTTGCATACGGACCTCTAAAAAAACGTGATGCAAACAAATGTACACACTGAAGAAATGACACACTGGTAATTCAAACTGTCACTATGATAAAACATGAGATTGTTGCTTCTATTGTTTTTGATCACACAAAACACAATTCTCCAAAAATAATGACATGAACCTGACTCATGTTTACATATTATTTAATTTATATACAGTAGGCTCTAAGTATTTTTATTGAAAGGCATTAAATGCAGTAAAAGTTGCTGTTCCTTGAGGATACAACTTGAGCCCACTCTGTAATCAGAGCACAACCAGTCTGTGTTTTTGTGTATTTGTTGGTACCTCTGTTGTGTACTGCCTGCTCCCAGAGGATCCGCTCCAGCGCCCTGGTCCAGGCCTCCTTCACCTCTCGGCTAACAGCTTGGAGTGTGTATGTGTCCTGGGTTTTCCTCTTCCTGAACCAGATCTCAAAACACAGGCCGCTCTCACCACTGTTTTGGGTCATGCCTATGTCTGACGTCTAAATACAAAGACAAACAGACGTTAGTCTAAAGTAAGTAACCATGTACTGACTTGAAGCGGCAGCAATAATGTTTCCTTTTACTGTTGTTATTGTTGTATTTACTGGCACATATCAATTTGAACCACTGAAAATGTAGTGTATGCGTGTGTGCGTGTGCATACAGCATGTATACCTTGAATGACTGTTTGTAGATATATGTTTCATTTCCTACATCTGTCTTCTTTGTCTTACTAAAGAGGAGGAGTTCTTGAAAGAGAAAAATGTGACGGAAACATTTTTTCTTTATGAATGTTACAAGGAACTCATCCTGGTGTATCAGCTGCCCCTGCTCCTTCAGATTAACCTGCAGTTAACAAAAGGAGAACACACTAAGGCTGAAAAGCAGTGGCCATGGATTCTAGTCAACAATAATGACAACTGTTAAAAAATGATTTTAAAAAACTAAGAAAATTTATATTGTATATAGGAAAAGAATTAATTGTTTCCCATGCAGCTTTTGCTCATGCCAGTACAGTGAACATCAGCACAAAAGTCATTATTATTTCTTGGAGTGATGTGTGTGTAAAGTAAAGTTCATAAATTAACTAACAAAATTCCAATGAACCCCACTCCATCCACTCTATTCCTGATATAGGTCCAGGTCATCCTCCCACCCTCACCCCCACACCGAATGCACAGCTCCTCCCTGTACATTCCATTGAAAGGAAAATAAAATCCATCTCACCACCGATTAAACAGCATTAACTGATTTATTAAATGAACTGCACAAAGCCAAATCTGAATGACAAATGTTTCTGAGAACACTAGCCCTCTCTGCACAACATTCTTTATGGATTGGTGCAAGAGTCTTGCCTGTACTCGTTTCTCTACTCTGCTTCCCCCAACATTTCTAGCAAAGATTCCTTTGGTGTTGCTCAATAATTGATCATGGATGGACAGTTTACAAGATAATACAAAACATACATCACAGTGTTGGATGGCGTCCATGGCCAGCAGGTTGTTTCCATGGCGGAGCTGGAAGTGGATGACCTCTATGGCAGCCTTGACTTCAGCCATCTCTCTGTTTTTTTCAGGACCACACTCCCTCAACATGTCTTGCAGCAGCAGGCTGTACTTACTGATGCGCTGCACGGGCTTCAGCAGATATGACCACAGGTCCATTTTATCCCCCAGCTTCAATTGCTTTTGCTGGTGTATAAAGAGAAGAGACAGAGCATTCAGCCAACCTGCAGCAGTGCTAGAGATGCACTGGGAAAGTAATAGTATCAGGGTACCAGTAAAGCCCGGGTGAGAACAAGCAAACGTTAAGTAGATGAAATCCACTGGGAAATGGTCTATACAGTAGAGATGCACTACACACTTTTATTTGGAAAGAAACATGGAGTCAGAGAAAATAATTAGACTAAACAACATTATATGGTCATTTCATTTATAGGATGAATTACATTTTGTACAAACATTCATGTTAACTTTGCTGATACCTTTTGGATATACCACTACCATCAGATCTAAATTTCAAGTTGTTCAATTCATTATTTATGATAAAATACCTGCAAATCTACCATTAACCTGTAGCTTTGTTTAACCACATACTGTACCACATACTAAGATGGTGCATGTGGTAAACATTAGACACTACCTGCTAACCATTAGCATTTCAGCTTTGTCACTGTGAACGTCTTAGAATGATGAGGTTAGACCTTAGCTCCAAACACCGCTGTGCCCACAGCATCATAGCAGAGCTGCTAACATGGCTGTACTTAGTCCTTAGAAACTTCACAATGAGGTTTTACCAGAGAAGTTAGAGAATGAAGAACAAACTGATGCTGACTATAGTTCTCACCTTGAAGAAAGCCTTCCCATGATTGATGAGAAGTCTATCAGACTGTGGTTTGTTCTTGCTGTAAAGGGCATACAAAGCAAAGCTCTCTCTCTAAAATAAAAGGATTAAAAAACATCATTAGCACCATCAGTAAATGTGCATGTCAATGTGAAATGCAGCTGCAGATGTGTAAGCTAATACACCCTCTCTGTTTGCAGTTAATGTGTTTAATCATATTAACACCTACATTAATCTTTTAAAAGAAATGATTCATTGAAAGCTAAAAACACACCATCACTTTACTGTCAGGACACATCTGAAAGGACCACTGATAGAAATCAATTATGGGGTTATGGTTTAAAACAGGAAACCATTACTTGACATTACACAAGGCTGTGTTATGGTCACACAGGCTTCAGCTGCAGTGCAGTGTTTGCATTTATAACATTTTTTAATGAAAATTAGAAAATGCAAACAGGTTGTCAACATAATCAGATTTGAAAGCTTTTTTAAACAAAATGCATCACACCCTCAGTAGTTGTACAATAACGCGCGTAGCACTTACATGTCGCAAAAAGCAGCGTCCCACTCTGAAGGGTTCATTTACGCAGCTTTCCAATTCATTCAGGAAATGATGTCTGTGGAAATCGTGAAGTTTTTCTAAGTTCCCAAAGATACTCCCTCTCTGGCCCCTAAGGTCCTGAGGAATGTCAGGCCTCTCCAGTTCAGGGAAGTAGTGCTCTCTGACATAACCCAGAGCCTTCACATACTCTCGCTCTGTGGACAGCAGCTCCTCTATAATCCTCCGCAGTTTCCTGTTCCACATAAGATTTAAAAAATGTACAGTATAGTCACGGAATTTATTAAAGCTCATAAATAAACCTCTATAGATGACCTCTTTATCAGTTTTATATTATTTATCTGTCAGAAGAGACACATTGTTCATAAAAAATTATTGTTTAATTGATAAAAAAAATGTGCCATTTTGTAAATGTATGGATATAATCTCTAATGTCCAGGGCAACATGTTACTAAGCTTCAAATTGCAGCTGAAGCAATAGGGCATTACTTACAAAACATTGTCACTGTTTTCTGTTGGTGTGGGTAATGTCTCAGGGCTCATCACATCTTCGGGGGTCTGCGTGGAAACTGTGCATCCTTTGCCCTCATCTTCATTTTTGTCTCCTTTTGACTTGCAGCTCAGGTTTTCTGTCCATAAACTGTGGTTATGGGAAGTGGGCAGATTTTGGATGGGCTGCAGATTTTGCTCCAGTGGCTGTGTCCTGCTCTGACAGTGTTTTTGTGTTACATTCAGAGGTGAAAAGCCAGAGATGCTCATCAAATGAGAGTTCATGCATGATCCCTCACTTAGGGACCGACCCAAGGCTTTGTGCAATGGAAAATCACTGACCACTTCGGCTGAGTGTGTGATCCTCAGATCTGCCTCACTGTGGTGCTCTCTTGGCCTCCATTTGGTTTGTAGATTACAGTCATTGCTTTGTGGAAAAACAGGAACCATTTTCTCATTTTCAGGTGACTTCTGTGGTTGGGGTTCTCGTTTCTTGCACTGTTTTAAGTCAGGTTTCAAATGGTGGTTTAAGCATGCAGCTGTAACCCTTTCTGAGATACTGACTATGTCTTTAGGAGAGTTTGGCTTCTGTGTCAGGAACAGTTCATTCTCTCCCACTTCACTCATTTTGTCCTTCTCTATTACATCTTCCCCTTGAAGGCTTGTAGCTGTGACCTGTTGGATCTGGTTCTTATCTATGCCTTCCTTCTTCTTCTGCATCTCCTTAAGTCGCTGCTGGACATCTTGGCAGCAGACCCAGGCTGCATTCCATGATCTTATCACTCCAGAGGCCCCTGATTCCACAGTACAGGCCTTAGCTTTCAATGCCTGGAAGTGCTGGGTGGAGAATTCACCACGCAATCTTTCTTCATACATTTGGAGTTTGCTTAGGGTCTGAGCTGAGCAATCCCCCCGTCCTACCTGGTCCAAAAACTGACTGCATTCTTTGCCCAACACAGATGCCTAGACAGATTAAGAGAAAGAAAAGTGAATTTATCCTTTTTATCTGTTTGTGTTAACCTTTATCGGTTAACACAAATCACTTTTGGCAAGTGACAGAAGAAGAGACTGACTTAGATTAGAAATTTTAAATGGATGAAGAATCTTGGAGAAATGAAAAAAACACATACCTGATTGCAGAAGCGGTACACATGCACCAGTGTGTGCAATTCTTTGTGTCTGTGTTCTGCCCGCAACATAAAATCATCCATGTTGGATTTGAAAGTGCTAACCAGAGTCCAAAAAACATCTGCTACAGGACTGGAGTCACTTCTGCCAACAGTCTCCTCTGCCTCTACCAACAGGGCCATGGCATACTGTTGGTTCTTCTATAATAGATGATGACATGTCAAGTGGAAGGATTTCTGTTACCCCACTTTGTGCAAGTTCTTAATCTAAAATTTACTGTTAAAACTGCAGTCATTTAAATATTTCAGCACTGGGAGAGTAAGAGATAAAGTGTTGGTATGTCCAGAAAAGCACAGACAGCCAAATAAGGATAATCTTTCTGATTTTAAGCTCCTTTTGCCATATTACTGTATAATATTACCTTAGACTGGGTGAGAAACAGTTCAAAATGCTGTAAGGCCTTTTCAGTGCACAACAGGGTTTCATCTGTTGTGTTTGAGTCCTTCAACCTTTGTTCGCCTTCAGTATTGAACCACATCCCAACCTGTAAGATGTAATGTTGAATTATGCAGAGTTGCTTTCTAGTTTGGCAGATCATGAGTGAACTATTGTACATCTTATTTTTGAGAAACAGTCAGTGAAATGTACAATATGAGGCCACTCTGGATATGGTGGATGCATTGAAAGAGCAGATAGTACCGTGCTGATTTTGGCCTCCATCGCTCTTAGCCTGAAGAGGAACTCTAGGTGCTGCAGTGACTCATTTGATCTCATTACCAGCATGTGGAGCTTTTCCTCTACCTGGTTATACAGACTTGCTACTGACTCCATGGCATCTCTACAGGTAAGGAGAGACAAATGTTAACAACCACAACAATATCTGAGACAAGTAACAACGCACAAAAACCTGAAGTGCACTGTGAAATGCCATTTATAATGTCAGGTGTATTGTGAGGGCCCTGAAATTAGAAGGACATCAGAAAATAATAGTTGTTATATGAAGTTATATTGTGATGACAAACTGAGCTTGATCGACATCTTCCTCACCTATTTGTTGGTTTTACTCAACCTGTCAGGGTGGGACCACCTACATGGTTGTCAGACATTTTGTACATAACATATGGTATAATTCCCAGCATAGCTCCATCGAGTTTACTCCTGATTAGAGGTCTATTAGCAAAAATAATTGAAGAAACCTGTATGGGTGCACAGAGCCTTTTGCAGAACAAACTAACTAATGACTATACTGTGGCTGTTAGTGGAGTAAAGAGGTCCACAAGATGGAAGCAGAAGTGCAAGTCACTGGTGGAGCATTAGTAGGGGCAAGTGGGGGAGGCTGCCTCAGGACAATGTGTATGTTCAAATAATGCAAATGAAAAATGTACAGTAATGCTAAAGCTAGCTAAAGCAAACACACCCTCCCAGTATTCACTAATGTAGCCTAGCACCAACTGCTGCACTGACTCCTGTGTACACAGTATTAGGCGAGTGATTTTAATGTTGTGGCTGATCAGTGTATATTTTATATCAGGAGCACATTATATAGTAAGTACACTTAAATACTATATTATACCGGTAGTCCTCAGACTGTGGAAATCTGAACTCCTCTCTCCTCATCCTGGCGAGTACAGATCCACCTTCTCTTTGCAGAGTGACGAGTCGAGTATCTTCTAGCACGTCTTTCATTAAAGCCTTCTGCTCCTGAATGCATAGCTGTACATCCTGTAGCACATGCAAAGACAACATTTATGCACACATACAAAAGGTGCAGTATGCCAAGTACATTTTATCACAGTATGAGATGTGCATTTTGAATTGGATTAGTAGTTATTTGACGCAGAGGCGCCAATTTGTGAAGTTGGGTGAACATCAGTCGAGTGAACTGGACATTGTATGTGGGGTGCCTCAAGGTTCAGTCTTGGGACCGAAATTATTCATATTATACATTAACGATATGTGCAAGGTTTCGGCTTTTGTGAAAATGGTCTTATTTGCTGATGACACTACGATATGGGCATCAGGGGATAACCCACAGCAACTCTCAGGATGGGTTTCACAGGAACTTGAGAAGATAAAGAAATGGTGTGACAGTAATATGCTATCCATGAATATGGATAAAACTAAATTTATGGTATTTGGGAATCGCAGACTAGATAACGAACTGCAAGTGAAAATAGGGGGAGCCAGTATAGAACGAGTATATGAAATTAAATTTCTAGGTGTCATAGTGGATGATAGATTCACCTGGAAATCTCATATCAGATATATTCAGCATAAAATAGCAA